AAAAGAAACCCATCAGAGTTTAATCGCGGCGGAAACAACGAACACCCAGACAATGATTTACCAGGGGTACTAGGGAGAATAAATTGCCAAACCACCAAATCTTATACTATACCTCAATTTAAGTACAATATCCATTTACAGTAAAAACTTATGCCACAATCGCCATTTACAAACCACAAAGCAAAATATGCACATTGAACTACTAAACTGCAACCCACCGATATCACAAAAGATTAGTAGCCTGGGTAACGCTACACCAAAATAGAACACTTCCAGACTCTTCCTCAGCTCCAAAACTAATCCCTACGCCCTCTGGTGGCGTCCACTCTGACTCACTCTCTTCGGAATCCTCATCTGAATCCTCATCAGGCACAAGCTCATCCGACGACTCTGAATCGGCCTCAATCTCGATCAGGAACTCTACCACATCATGATTAGTATACATAACAATCCCAAAACGCTGCAGCAGTGGCGACGGAAGGTTCATGGCTCGGACGGGTGCTCTGAAATGGTTTGGTTGAAACAACCATGAGATCACATCTCAATAAGCACACACCCTAAACCCCACCTAGGCTATCACGTATCTCTAGACATTCATACAAAACACAATCACATCATTCAATCATCAAATCGCAGGCACATGAATCATTCTTACCCGGCCTATCATGAGGGCTACCTGCACGTTAGTCCCAATCACATCATATGCAATCACATGCATGCTTAAATCACGTTTCATGCATTTCCACTTGCCTCATCACATTCCTTTCCATACCACTCGCCAATGACCCTCGTTACAGTACACGCTTCAGGTTCACTGCGACCAATTATCACAACACTTCAGGGCCCGCGTTACAGTACACGCCTCAGGCCATGTTTCTCGCCCGCGTTACAGTACATGCCTCAGGCTCAACATCTACCACCTACTGCACAACCCGCATTGAAGTACACGCCTCAGGCTGGCAGTCTTCCGGTAATACCGGGCATCGTCCCGCGTTGAAGTACACGCCTCAGGACGGCACAATTCCCACGATCGCACATGCCACACCACATTCACTTTCTTGCTCATGCACATGCTCAACAACCACTTGCCACTCAGTTGGCCAATCACACGCGGCCCGTGCACGCAACAATTCACATACATTTTTCATGCTCACCAAGCATTCGATATGGCCTATTTGACAATTCATTCAGTCCGGCCCAAGCGTGCACACAATCAAGCATATTTCAATCCATCAAATCTCGGTACAATAAACACACAAGGCCACTCACGGGCCCACAAACACAGCCACGTTCAAAGGCACGAATTCAACATTTCCACGCATAAATTCAAGTCATAGCGGGCACCACAACACAGCCACATCACAGCCCATTCAAACCGACACAAATCGTCTCCAAATCGGACTATATGTCCGTCATTTCAATCCACAACGTCCGGCACCCTAATCAGTCTCACTCCAGCCCCGAAACATCCTCATTTCATCCTCAAACTAATTCATACAACACAAATTCAAGCATCAATTCCAGTCACGAGGGCAGCAACCATTCAACCTCGACACCCCCGCCATTTCACTCATAAAAATGAACATCCAAAGAATCGGGGTAAAATTGGGTAGTTTACACAGTGACCGAAATCCCATCAAAATAAATAGTAAACGAACTCCAAAAATTCTAAATTTTGGATATGTTGCGTAAAACATCTTGGTAAACATTTTCTGTGAAGAACTCAAAACCCAGTTCCAACTGTAAACACCTATTTTTGTCACTTGGAGTCAGATGAAAATCAACCCGTCCGGTCAGGCCACCTGACCATAAAAATGCATCTTATCCAGTACCCAAATCACTTTAGAAAACTTTGAAATTTTTATATGTCATAGTTACAAATGTTCCCAACAAGTTTTGTGAAGGAATTATTTTGAAAATGGGTATGGAAAAATTTATAAAAATTCGAACAGACCCGAAGGTCGGAGGAACAGTATTTCCAGCACACGAATTTCGGTCCAAAGATGGACTTCCGAATGGACTCCGATGATTTAAAAAAATTCTCAAATTAAATTATGTCATACTTCAAGATGTTGGGAGCAACTTTCATGAAGACAACTTCCTCAAATTCGGCCCACACAATTCTCCAAAAAAATAGTAAACCGGACAGGTACAGTAACCGCGAATCAGAAATTCACCTCAAATTTCAATGATCCGAGCCTTAGTTGATATCCACCCAATTTCAACCCACAAAACTCACTCCACAATGCTCAAACTACCATCCAACAGCCACAAGGATATCCAAGAACACAATGAAAGATCGAGCTCTCCTTTAATCTACCTATAATCACCTCAATCAACCCCTAAAACCGACTAAACCGGGTCTAAACTAGTCCGTTAATACCCGATATCCTAAATAGGGTTTAGGGGGCGACTTACCGAGCCCTAGACTACCTTGGCTAGAGCGACAAGCAGCGGTGATTGACGGGGACGGCGGCGAACGGCGCGGCTTGGTACGGCGGACGGCGATTGGCGCACGGCGGATGGCGATCGGCGCATGGCGGTGGCGCGGCTTCCCTTGGCCGACCAGCTCACGGCCAAGAGGAGGAGAGAGAGAAAACCGAGAGAAGGACGGCTTGGGGTGGCGGCGGCGGTACGGTGGCCGGCGGGCGGTGAGCGGTGGCGCCGGCGTACGGCCAAGGGGGCGATCGGCGGTGAGGGAAAAAGGGAGAGAGAGAGGTTTCGGTGGGGGGGGGGGTGGCTGCCGTGAGAGAGAGAGAGAGGAAATGAGGAGAGAGAATGGGTCTTGGACTTAAATAGTCACATTTTGACCAAAAATGGCAAATTACCATCTTGCCCCTCTCTCACAATCCAAATCGATGGCCCAGATTCGATCTTATCTTGAAACCGACGGCCGAGATCGAATCTTACCAAAAATATACAAGGGCATTATGGGAATGTCATAAAATTCCAAGGGCAAAATTGTCCAATCCAAAAAGTTAAGGCAAAATGACCAAAATGCCCTTTTACCATAAAGCATGCCCTTTACAAACTCTTAGGGGTAAAATGGTCACTTTCCTCATTACTCATCGAAATCGGATTTTTTTGAAGGAATCGGGACATTCCAAAATTGCACAATCCATTCACAACGTCATCCTAGCGCCTAGTTGTGACTTCCTAATTTTCCGGTGTCCGATTTGGGCTCAATTAAATAATTAAATTTTATTAAACGCAACTCGAGTGTTTCTCAAACTAACGGGTGGCTTGTTGGGGAAATTCGCATATTCGACCCGTGACCGATAATAAATCGAGTCACGTGAAATTTTATTCGGTTCGCGACGACTTTGGTTGTCATTTAAATCGCGAGGATCGATCACTAGATCCGAGGGGTACGATCGTTCGGTATAGTTTCAGGATCATTCGTCAATTCATTTCGTGGTCTGGCGGTATCACCCGCGATCCACTACTCTGATAGTGGCGAACTGACTCCTGACTATCCTTGGATCGATTAACAGTGGCTCAAAATGTCACCTCGGCGATTTTATGGTCGAAAGTCAATTCACGATCGAATTTTCTCTTAGTCGTACAAATTTAGATCTCGAGTCAGCCTTTCCCTATTGGTTAGTATCCCAGGAATGATCAGTTCCGGGCGAAAACTAACTACGAGTACGTTCATAAAATCAAGCATTTCATAAACTCCAAATGGACAAATTTCAGGATGTCACATATATCGGAATATATATCCTGCTAGTTATTTGTTTTTCATATCTATTATCACTGTTTTGTCATTTTAATTGGGGGCTGACTTGGACTACTATTCTAGGGTTTCTCCTTCGTGATATTTGAGATGCGTAGAAGGAACCAAGGTTTGTGGACCAATTATGCATAAATGGAAATTCAAAGCTTTACTCGATAATACAGTCTAATCTGATGAAATTGGCATATTGGATGATTAATTTTATTGCCTATATATGATCAATTTAGATTCCATCATAATAGTAGAGTGGGTTTACCATCTCGAGTATGCTCTTTTTGTGGTGATGAAACACTAAGATTGAAAATCAAAATTTTAGGGTTGATGAATGGCGGCAATCGTGTGAGCAGTGAACTTACTTCTCGATTGAAATTGCATGAGACATTCTTTTTAACAACCTAGGGGCACAATTGCAGCGGCCCAATTATCTAGAAATCCACAAAACATCCTTACAAACCCTATGAACCACTCTACTCCAGACTTTGACATGTGCAATGTAATGGTGGGAATTAAACAGGTACCTCCGATTCCTAAGCTGGAAACACTCGGCACTTAACTAACCGCATAAGTCTATTCACTCTCAAGCCATTACTTTTTGTAGCTCTTCATGTACATTTTACTTTGAACAGCCAAATTTGGAAGATCTCTCTCAAGCAAAATGACTCAAATCTCAACTAGATTTTTCTTTTAAGATAGTGGGTCATAGATGGTAGGAAGTCTCTACTTGAATATAGTTGCTCTAAATGATTTTCGTACCATACATCGATTTGTGTTTATCATTAGAGTTACTTACCCTGTCACGCCCCACCTAACCGAAAAGTGAAAATTACTAAAAAGGGAAAAACATGAACTAATCGCTAATTTCGGCTTTCATAGTACCTGAGCAAACTAAATGTAATACTTGCTCGTATCAAACCTTTGATAGATATTTGAAGAAATTTAAAGGAAAAGCGTGATGTCTAGTATTTAATGGAACAACTTAATTTCTACAAGAGAAATATACCACGATTATCCATCAATAGAGGTGTAATAAAGCCGAATACAGTCTTTACAATATTTTCGACCTGAACTTCAATATATAAAGTTAAATTCTCAAGCTCAAGCTTAAAAAAATAAGAATCTTGACAGATTCATGCTTGACTTGAATAGAAGCTCGACTGATGCAGAACTTTTAGCGGCATCAGTCGAGCTTCTATAGTTTTACTTTGAATATAATATAGCTATTTCAAGTCAAGCATGAATCTGTCAACCATGATCAGACGGTGCTTCACAGCGGGCTGAAAAAATCATTCAGCTCTATATAGTCTACCCTTGGAGCACCTGTTGTCGGCGGTGCTGCAAAATCAGCATCGAAGTTCCCAGCACCATCGCTGTCCCCATGATGATGGTTTACCTACACAAGTAGTCGAAGGGGAAATGCATTCACTTGTTAAATGATGGCGATGCCATATAAGAACAAAAAGGAAGATCGGATTAATAATAGTGGCCAAATCTTTTTTATTAGCCAACAAGGTTCATGCAAGTTTCTCATATCAGCTTCCTTTTCCTTTAAAAAAAAAATTAAACTAAGATATTAGGACAAAAATTCGAGTAAGAGAACTTAATGTTGCTTTAAACTTTATCTAAGACAACTGATGATGTAATATGTGTGAAATGCCACCACAAAACCAATTTTATCTTCCTGGAGGATGCAAATTCTGTAGAATGCACGCCATATATCAATGAACTATCCAAGAGATAGCAGGTCAAGTGTTAACGGATGGCTTTCAGGTAAATTACTGTTCTAGCATCCAACAACGAGAAGCATTGAAATGATCGAAGCATGGCATGATATCAAATCTTACCCTACTATTCAGATAGATGGTCTGGTTCAGACGAACAGGAGCAGGAATTTGCCCATCTGGAACATGGTTATGTATCTCGCTAACCAACACATCCTCACGATTGCCTCCTGGAGCAGCTTCATATGGGAGCACTCCATCATTGCGAGCACTCGATGAGCTATCCCCAGTCCAAGGCTTCGCAAAAAGTCGATAGAGCAAGAAAGAAGCCTGCACATCAATAAAAGCGAAAGGTTAACGTAATAAAGGCAAGGTTCTAGATGTTCTATGGTCATTGAGCATTCTTTGTTACGTGGCGTACTTGTAGATTCTCTTTCAAGGTTTTGATTTAAAAGAATTACTTACAAGTACAGAGTTGGTTTGTGTTCAATATTCATAGTATCAAGACGATGGTTGTTAATGAAATCCAAAGCGTTATAGCTCTTGCAAGTAGTCTATCCGGAATTTTAACATGTAGTTAGGACAATTCAAGAATCTTCCTAGAGAAGTGATCATGATGCATTCCCATTAGAAAAATCGAATTTCTGCTTAGAAATCATCCAAACGATGCAAAAAAGCCCTCCTGGATTACACAAATTGCCGTGCAAAATCCTGTCAAACTGGGGAATATCATTCAAACATAACAGGTACTTAACCAAGCAAATTGTTATCAAACAAAAATACGTGCACACATGGAATTCAAATCACTCTAATAAAACGGGAAAATGTTGCTCAAGAATCAGAACCCCAATAACAACTGACCATTGGAAAAAGAAAATGCAAAAGCCAAACCACAACATACAGACGAAAAATCATCTAAAAGTTTTCACTAATTAGGAGGGAAGCATGCTCATATATATCAGACTATAAATAAATAAATAAACTCAAAAACAAACGAAATATAGAATCATCATGAATCACCTGGGCATGATCAGGCAGCGCAAATTCATGCATGATCCAATCAGTCCTAACAGCATTGTGAACTGAAGTCCCCATGTAGAAAACAAAGCAGCACTTGGCACCCAGAACTGCACCACCACCACGCACGACATCATCGTTGCCCCTCCCCCTCATCAGCCAGAACCCGCGGTTCACGGCCCTCATCCTTCTCTGCCTCTCGGCAGGCCCACGAGCAGCTGTGTAGAAGTACCAGTGCCTTGTTGCCTCCTTGGGGCCATACTCGAAGTAAGGATTCTCTGACAACTCCGACGGACTGTAGCCATACACGTCGAGCTCCTTGATCACGTTGTGATCGAATTGGTTGGCCAGGTTGGGGTTCGGGCGGACATTCTTGTTCACCAGGTAGTAGTGGAAGATCTCTTCATCAGAAGGGAAGAAGTGGAAGCCCGGTGGCAGCACGGGCATCAGTCCCATGTTCTCGAGGTTCTGGTCGTTGTTGGCAGGAATGATTTGGCCAGCCATTGTTATACACGAGAGAGAGAGAGAGAGAGAGAGAGAGAGAGAGAGAGCAATTTGATGGTTTCAGGCGGTGAGAGAAAGAGAATGAAGTGAAGAAGAATGAGGGAGCGGAGGCTTTTTATAGGGGAAGAAGAAAGAGGTGTACATTAGAAGCAAACGAGAGAGCAGGCGTATGAGACTGATAGTGTTCTTTCCTTAACGAAAAAGAAAAGGCAAAAAAGGACATTCTTGTCTTGCCCTAAAAAGGCATGCCTTATTTGCTTGTCCATATTTGGCATGGGTAGTTGGATAGGATTGAGCAGTTCGTCTTGTTCTGTTCTTTTTCTCTTGTTTTGGCAAGTAGGAGGACAGAAATGGCTGTGGCAAAATAAGAAAGAGCAAAAATGGAATGTGGGAAAAAATCTGAACAAAAAGAGAAACAAAATTTTCCTTGTTTTACTACTAGATTATATTGCCATATTCAATCTTATCTTTCGTAAAAAGGCAATTAAATCTAGAGTAATTATGAGACACTGTGATATAGATAAGTTTTACATAAGCAATTTTATACGTAATAATAGCTTATTTCAGCTTAATAATATTTTAGCGACTCAATCATAACACTTGTTTTTATCAATAACTTCGACAAATACTTGTTCAAAGAAAAAGAAGAATATTGTAATATTATGTGATAAAAGGATGATTCCTACAAGAGGAAAAAAAAAATTATGATGAGACCTATCGCTAGAAACGTGACGAAGCCAAGTTCGTTCGATGTGTTTAGTATTCAACTTGACTTGAACTTGATTGAGTTAGACATTTAAGTATGAGCTAAAATTAATAAGATTTCAACTCGAATTAGTTGATTATCCTAAGTTAAATTCAACAAGCTCGACTAGGGCTAGAGATCAAACTAGAGTTCTCGTGTGGAGTTGAAAAATTGCATTTTGTTTCTAATTTTTCTAACTGAAATATTTTTCATTTTGATCTTGCAAAAACTGAATTTAAGAAATCATGAAAAAGTTCTATATTTTTTAATGAGTTTAAATTTATGTATACACTCAAAATGAAATTAAAAATTCTAATTTAAATGAAAGTCAAATCTCAAATACTGAAAAATAATAAGTTAATATTTAAAGACATTTCAAATGCATATATTAAGCATATAACTCGTCAAGCATATCATTAAGTCTAGGTGTGGGGTACCTATACTTAATGAAAATGTTGTTGATGGTGTTCGCTCGTTTTACGACGAGGAATATCCTTCACCGAAACTTCGATTTTCGGTTTTTATTAAAGTAGGTTATGTGGCTTGATTTCTAGGAAAATCGTGGCGAAAAACAGAGTGTAGTGCAGGGTTATATGGAAACGGGTAGAAATTGAGTGGATTGAAAATGAATCTGAGATCAACAAAGTTTCTAACTATGTTACAATACTCCTATGAACGCTGTAAAGGACTTGAAGGTTAACTAAAGCTACAGGAAGCTGTAAACGCAGGAAGTAAAAGTGCAGATAAAACTAAAGTGCATATAAGCTTGAGTGTTTTTTTTGCATTGTTGTCGGGGGGGTCATACAATATACAAACTTGGGATATTTATAATCCCGTACAAGCGTTTACAACTTTTAAATTTTAAATAAAAAGTAACTTCCTAACGGTGGTTATTATCTTCCTATTTTCTAGGCACTCTCCACGTTCAAATAACCACCCTTATCCATAAGCAGTTTTGTTATTGACACCTAACTATCGGTAAGTTGTTGATGCCAATCCTCTGCTCACCCACTATCGGTAAGTTGCGAACTATCGGTAAGTTACCGACGCCAAAGCTCCCGATGCTTATTTCCATGGTTTTTTTTCCACTTTTTGGTGTAAACAGATGGCTTGGCTATTCACGCACTTTTTGAATGAACCATCATTTTTAGGCACGAGTAGAGTTGGAATGGAATATGGGCTCATTCTTTCTCGGACAAATCCTTTGTCGATAAGTTCATCTACTTGTCTTCGCAATTCTTTTATTTCTTCTAGGTCACATCGATAAGCTGCTTTGTTCGATAAAGTAGCATAAAAAATCAAATCGATGTGATGTTCAATGCTTCTCATGGGCGGTAATCCAAGTGGCAATTCCTCCATATACACATCTGCAAATACTTTTAAAAAGGAATGCATTTTCAAATGTTAGGGTCTCTCTATCTCACACTTTTTCTCAACCATAAGCAAAGCAGATACATTCTTCTATTGGCTAGCTCTCTCAACCCGTGTTTCACTCGAGAAAAGGCTTTCCTTATTAGTGTTTTGTAACCCAAGTTCATTTTTATGCATCATGGATGGACTCAAGGGTATAAGAGTGGTGCATTTTTGTTCCTTGTAAAAAGAGCATGTGTTCTTACGGCCATCATGCTTAGCGTTCTTATTATATTGCCAAGGTCTCCCCAATAATGAGTGGCATGCATACATAGGAATGACATCACATAGAACTTGATCTTGGTAATTCTTCCCAATTGAAAATGATATGAGAGCTTGTTTGGTTACATTAAGATCGCTTCCTTCACTAAGCCATTGAAACTTGTGTGGTTGAGAATGCTTAGATGTTGGAAGTTTCAGTTTGTCAATTAAGGTTATTGATGCAACATTGGTACAGCTCCCACCATCGATAATCACTATGCATACCTTCCCATTAATAGTGCAATGAGTGTGAAAGATGTTTTCTTCCTGCTCCTTTTCATATGAAGAAACTATGGCATGTAATGCTCTTCGGATCACCAACATCTCACCATCATCACCTTTTTTCACAATCTCCTCATGCTTCTCAAATTCAGAATAATCCTACTTAAAATCATTCTCAACCTCTTGACGTTCCAAATCGATCTTCTCAATGTCTTGAATAGTCATAAGTCTCCAATTAGGACAATTAGTTTGCTAATGCCTATAACCATGGCATTTAAAGCATTTCCTTCATTCACCATCAGTTTTCTCGTGGAATTCTTTGGTAGGCTCCACAGACTTCTCCTTGCCTTTGTCTTTTGTCAACGAACTCTCAACCTTGCTTAAGGAAGCATCCTTAAAGTAGGATGTTCCCTTCGTTGAGGTTTTAGTAGAAAACTTCTTGTTGCTCTTTATTTGCTTTTCAATCTTCATCGCCAACTTACATGCATCTTCAAAGGACCAATAAGGTTGAAGTTCAACCAAATCAGCAATTTCCTAATTCATTCCGCCGAGGAATCGAGTGATGGTTTGCTCCAAACTTTCTAGAACTTTGCACCTCATCTTGAGTTGTTCAAACTCTCTGATGTATTTTTCAATGCTCATCCCTTGTTATTTTAGGAAATTCAGCTTGAGGAGTAAGTCTTGCTTATAGTTGTCATAAAAGAACCTCTTTTTTTATCATTTTCTTGAGTTTTTCCGAAGACTTAATCTTTCTTTTGCCTTCCTTGAGTCGCTGATGCTTTAGACTCTCCCACTAAAGAGAAGCTTATTTTGTCAATTTGGAGACATCAATCTTGCATCTCTTCTCATCCGAGTGTGACTTGAAGTTCGGAACTCGTTCGATTGCGTGAAGCCAATCGACAAAGTCAGCTGGATTGAGACTTCCTTTAAATTTAGGCGCTTCCATTTTTATTTCACAATCATTCTCCTTATGCCTCCCTCTTCTCCTCTGGACTTGGTAGTGTGAATCACTAGAGTTACCTACAGTAGAGTCAGATTCGTCACCTTAACTTTGACAAGAATCAAAATCGTCACGTTGATGTTGATCATTAGGACGTATCGCTGGTTGTCCTTGTCTCACTGAATCTTCTAGAAGATTGAGGATTCACTCCATTTGTTGTTGGAGATTTTGTATAGCACGGTCTCACTTTTCATTGTGTGCTTGCTCTAAGGTCAAACCTCTTGGAATTAGTTCATCTTTGTTGAGTATGAGTTGGATAACATTCAAGGTGGAAGCAATGAAAACATGGTCAGTTTCAAAGTTCATTTATGATGTGAGAAGTTTTCATGGGCTTGTTTTCTCTGAATCGACGATTTATGAAATATTGCAGTACCATCATGGCTCTTATCACTTAATGCATGAAGAAGGGATCTTTTGAAAGGACAAAGGCTGCTCACAACGTCTTAAAAATAATCAAACAGAAACTTTGTGAGTCCCTTATTATTGCACTTCCTGGTTTGATAAAGGATTTGAAGTTGAGTGTGATGCAAGAGCGGAGTTGGCATTGGAGCTGTTCTGGTCCAAGCCTAGAAGCCTTTGGCATATTTCAGTAAGAAGTTGATAGATTCAAAGAAGAACAATTAAACTTATAATAAGGAGTTCTACGCCATTGTGAGAGCTCTTGATCATTGGAATCATTATTTGAGGCCAAAATTATTTGTTCTTCATTTTGATCGTGATGCTCTTAAGTTTATTAGCGGCCAACGCAAACTCAATTGGAGACATGCCAAACGAGTAGAATTTCTTCAATCCTTTTCTTTTCAAAATATAAACCTGGCCATACTAACATTGTAGTGGATGCTTTATCGAGGAGATATTCAATATTTGCTATTTTGGATAATAGGATCCTTGATTTGCAATCGATAAATGATCTATATTCTGAAGATTCAGATTTCTCTTCCATCGTTGACAACTATAAATATGGAGTTCGGGGTATTTATTATTGTAGGATGGATTTTTTTTAAGGGGAATCAATTATGTGTGCCAAAGAATTCTTTTGAAGAATTATTGATCCTTGAAGTACATGGTGGAGGATTGGTCGGTCACTTCGGAGTTAACAAAACTCTTGAGGTTCTTTAAGAGCATTTTTATTGGCCAAAGATGAATGGAGATGTGTATGCTATCATCTCAAGGTGTGTAATTTGTGATAGAGCAAAAAACCATTTCCATTAGGGACTAGTCCACTTCCGGTTTCATTGCAGCCATAGGAAGATGTGAGTATGAATTTTATTGTAGCTCATCCGAGGACTCAAAGGGGGGAAAGATGCCATCATGGTGGCCGTTGATTGGTTTTCTAAAATGGTTCATTTCATTCCAAGTTAC